TTAATTTTTCAGCTGACATACTGAAAAATCGCTAAAATTGAACTGAAATTTCTCTGAACTTCTGTAGAAACACTTTTCGGAAACTTTTTTTAAAAATTTCTCTGAAATTTTACTCAAATTTTGCTGAAAATGAATTTTTCAACAAAAAGTCGCTGAAATTAAATTGAATTTTTTCTGAAATGCTGTTCCAAGACGGGAATTAATTTCAATAAAATTTTCAGAATTGAAAGCGGATTTTATAGAACTGTCTTGTCCGTCTTGTCTGTAGTTTAATTTCTTGTAGTACTGAAGGTGCTAATTAATGTTAAGAAGATCTCGTTCACTTCAAATTTTGAGAAAAATACACCGAATCAATGTGTTTTCGCGTAAAAATAAAGATTTGACAAGAAAAAAGGGTCACGCTACTCCGCGAATCGAAATATATTATTAAAGTTAACCACTATTTAGGTTAGGAAATCTATCACAGCAGTGGTTCATTATTTTTAAAACACAAATTCACTGCTTTAAAAGCAATATAAAAAAATAATTTGTATTTCTAAAGCAGTGAATTTGTGTTTTTAAAGCAGATTTGTTTTAAAACAGAGAAGCTTAAGTTATTTAAAATTAATACCTTTTTAATTTTTTTTATATGAATTAAAGTTTAAATCCAGCATTTCTTTAAAATAGATGTTGTAACTATAAACGCGACTTTGTCGTTGTCCACATTCCTATAAATTTTGTAAAAAGTTACAAATGTTTCATAATGTATTATTAAATTTGTTAATTAAAATTAATAATATTACCTAATGATTTAAATATAAGTAAATCTATCGTGAATCTCGCGTTTCCGACTTTTTGTACATGCTTGTTTTAATATGAAACATAAAATGTTATATAAAAAATCTTCAGAAGTTGCATTTATATGTATAGGAAAAATTTACAAAAATTATATTTGTTTATGATCGGTTAAATCCCAATCTCAAAACATTTCCCGTATGAATTTAGGTCACAAGTTTGTATTACCAACAACATTATAGACAGCGAGTCAAGGATTTTTATTTAATTGCTTTATTAAATATACCATTTTCCTAATATAATCAAATAAGAGTCTGCAGTAGAGAAATATATTGTCTGCCTACAAAAACTTGCACACGTGATCACGACGCATGATCATACCGATACATTTAAGTATGACAGATTTCCTAACCTCAATAGTTGTCAACTTTAATGTTTAATATCTCAGTTCGCAGGACAGAACGACATTTTTTCACATTATCAAATTTTTATTTTTATACGAAAACGCATCGATTCAGTGTATTTGTATCAAAATGTGAGGTGAACGAGGTTCCTTAACATTTACCAATTTTGCTTAAGTCCATCTCGAACATGTCTTGGCCAAGACCGCCTTATTTCGTATATATATACATATGTCAAATAAGATGTCTTATAATAACTATGAACACGAAGTAAAAGTAAGGAGACCGAACTCGGGTCGGCTAGGGAGGAAAAAATAGCCCTGAGTAATGTGCGCTAGGGGAGGGAATCCGCTGGAAGAAACTGACTTTCCAACTCGCGTCAATGTGTTATCGTCTCGTTCATGATCATGTCGGTGTGAACATTTTATTTGCGGAAGTGTGTGTTGTTTACTATAGTATACGGAAGGTAACCTCACGGGTCTCAGATCTGTATACAGTACGGACACGAATGTACACGAATGTAAGGGCCTGCGCACAATAGAGGAACAAGAATTAGATATTAAGATTTCAACCTATCAGAAACCGTGTATTCCGATGTAATCAGTTTCTGATAGGTTAGTTCCGACCATTTACGGTAAGAATAAAAATAGTTAAAGTAAATATATTTCACTCTAACATCGTAATTCACTCCAGCTGCTTTACACGCACACCACTCAATACACTCACGGACACAACACAGATAGAAAACTACACTATTACGCGACTTGAAAATAGCTGTTTCTTCCAGCGGATTCCCTTCCTCTAACGCACATCGAATGGGGCTATATCGGCCAGCTGGAGTTCGGTCTCCTTACTTTTACTTCGTGGACTACGTTTACACGGATCGATTTACGCTGAAGTTATAACATCAATGTTAGAAAACTGGCCAATCGCAGTCATTCCATTCTTCAGAGGAATTATGGTTGGCCAATTTCATAACATCGATGTTATAACTTCGGCGTAAATCGAGCCGTGTAAACGTAGTCTATGCAGTGTTGTTAGGTATGCCGCCTTTTTAGCGCATGCACACTACAGTACTAGTGAGTTCTAGAGAAATCCAGTAATGTAAAGGATGAAAGCGCGGGGCCGCGGGTTAAACTGTGTGATTACGCGCGAGAATTGGAGAAAAGGCATATACATTATATATAATTTATTTCATGAAAACAAAGAATCGAGAAGCATTAGACAAGTAAAATGTAATATGTAGAAGTATAGATTTGGCGAGATTTGGCAATATATGTAAGTTAACCCAGTAAACAAGAAACATTTTGGGACATTTCAGTAACATTATAGCAATGTTACAACGTTACTACAATGTTGCTGAAATGTTCCAAAATGTTTCTTGCTTATTGGGAAGTAATCTACACTGTGAATCACATATTGCCAAATCCCGCCAAATCTGTACTTATCTTCTACATATTATATCTTACTCGTCTAGTGCTTCTCAATTCCTTGTTTTCGTGAAATAAATTACATATAATGTATATGCCTTTTCTCCGATTCTCGCGTGTAACCACGAACAGTTTAGCCCGCGGCTTCGGCCCCCGCCAGATTTTCATCCTTTACATTACTGGATTTCTCTAGAAGTCACTAGTACTATAGTGCACATGCGCTAAAAAGGCGGCATACTTAACAACACTGAGTCTATAGCCGGTATTCATAGTCGATTCTTATTTCAAGATCGTCTTAAGTAATGTCTTAAGACGCTAATGCAGCCCTCTGATTGGTTCGTGACTTCTTGAGACCATACTTAAGACGGTCTTGAATATAAGATCTGACTATGAATACCGGCCTATGTTCGAGCATGCGACGCGACAAACCCATCGACATCTAGAATGGACCGCTGATGGCAATGGTGGGGGTAGAAAGACGATTAGCGTGAGAGGCAGGAATAATAAGATCGTTCTTTTTCTGTTTACTGTTGTTTCTAACAGCCTGATTAGTTGTTGGATTAACAACAACCAATCAGGCTTCAGTAAACAGAGAAAGAACGATCTTATTATTCTTGCCTCTCACTCTAATCGTCTTTCTACCCTCACCATTGCCATCAGCGGTCCATTCTAGATGACGATGGACAAACCTCATTTATTTAACATTTGATAAACAATGGATGAATTAGTGATTCAAAGAGCATCGAATAGAACGTGGTGGAATGCAACTACAGTTGTCTGTTTATTAACGGCTTTATGTATCACGCAAAGTGTTCTATCGTAGAATACGTCGTGCACGACATAAACACACACATACACACACACACACCATAAAGGTCGAACGAACTAAAGCGGTCGCACGTGCGCATACATAGAGTATGATCTCAGGAGCCGATAATGGTAACGACGGAAGGGATTATAAGAAGGCGGCGGCGATCAAAGACTCTCCTGCGTTTTTCGGTTAATTGTGACCTTCAGTTTCGGCGTCAACTTGTCGCCCCTTTCCCACCACCACGACCAATCAGCGCGGACCGGAAATTTTTCCGTAGTCTCGCAATCGGAAGGAAGTTCCATGCTACAAGGATCCAAGGTACAGCTCACGTCGACGAGTCGTTACCAACGGTTTCCAGTACGTGCGATTATACCGCGATATCAGGCAAGTGCCTTAAGCGTACCGAGTTTCGTTCGGCAAAGGTGGCATAAAACAGTGCAAATATTTCATTCACGTGATAAAGACACAGGCAGGGCGAGTTACGATATCGCTCCCACGCGAAAGGCGGCTCAGGACGCAAATTCGTCCCAGGCGTTACCGCCGATAACCAAAGACGGCTCAGGACGATAAAATCGTTCCTAGGCGTTGCCGCAGATAAACGAAAAACAAACATTCTTGGTTAGTAAGCGACATACATATTAACTGTACATATCGTTTATGTGTTATAATTTAATAAACTATATATATATATATATACGGAACGACGAAGTGGATACCAATCTATCCCTTTCGACACAAGAACATTTTGGTGCCTCCTGTGAGGTGTGGAATCCACGCCTGAAACGGAATATCGAGACGAGACGATTGCCTTTCACATCATAGGCGCTGAAAGATCCAGAAGAGAAGGAGACGGCTGCGTACAACAGACAGAATTAAGTATCTCATACCAAAGAGAAGTAAGTCGTTCGATCTCATTTCTTTCTCCTTCGTTTTTAAATTCGGTACAATGACCGACAAAATTAAAATACTTATACAAAAGCGGACATCGGTAAAGTCACAAATCACGAGCTTAAATAATATCCTCGACAAAGGTGAATTGGATCATATTGCTGTAAGGTTCCGAATGAATCGTTTAACGGAATTATATCGCGCATTCGAGGATCATAATGACGAATTAGCGGTGTTAGACTCAGACGAAAGACATCAAACTGAATTTACGAATTTGCAGGATCGATATTATTCACTCGCGAGTAGAGTCGAAACCATAACACGCGCGGCCGACGTCGCGGAATCGAGTACCAGTACGTCGACCGGGGAGAGTCGAAACAGCGATGCGACGCTTTCTACATCGGTCAAGAAACGACGGATAAAACTGCCCGATGCGCATTTGCCGACATTCGATGGCAAATACGAATCGTGGCTATCGTTCAAAAACACCTTCCACAATATGATAGGGTCGCAAACCGATCTTTCAGAAATTGACAAATTACATTACCTCAAATCCGCATTGACAGGCGAGGCTGCGAGTAAAATACGCATTTTCGAAATAGATGGAATAAATTATTCGAAAGCTTGGGAGTTACTCGAACGTGCATACGAGGTGAAACGCGTTCTGATTTCGCGACATCTGTCGTTGCTCTTTGGCTTGCCGACGTTAGATAGAGAATCGACAACCGGGCTATCTAAACTCGCGGACGATGCACAGCAGCATGTGGCATCGTTAAGCGCACTAGGAGTCAGCGTCGGGTCCGAAGTAGTCGTACATACATTAGAAAGTAAATTGCCAAAGAGCGCATTAGAGCGATGGGAAACCAGTCTCGACAGGGATGAATTTCCGAAACTCGAATTTATGTACGAATTTTTGTATAAATCCGCGGTCTGCGCGTCGAAACGAGAGAGAGCGAAGGCGACAGAATCTGAAAGGAATAAGATCGAGCCCTCGATTAAGAAGAAACGCGTTTCCGTAGCAAACCAGGTGTTTATGCTGAACGCATCGCGTAATTGCGTGATATGCAAGAATAAACGACATCCTTTATATCTATGCGAAAAATTCAAACTTCTTTCCGCACAAAAACGGATCGACGTAGTCAAGAGTGCGAAGCTGTGTTACAATTGTTTGCGGTCTCACAGAGGTAGCGCTTGCAAATTCTCTAGTTGCACGATCTGTCAAAACCGGCACAATACGCTCTTGCACATCGATGGTTTTGCCGGGGCGAATAAATCCAACATAACAAATTCAGCGTCGGAAAAAACCGAATGACTAATAGGGACGGCCGAAAGTAAAACGATGAGCCTCGTGACGTGGCATCTTCCAGCTCCACAATTAATGACGAGCGCGTTAGTATACGTCCGTGATAATAAATGTAATTTGATAAAATGCCGTGCGCTTCTCGACACGTGCGCCACCGCCAATTTCATTTCCGAATCCATTCTGAAGCGTTTAAACATACGTATCGATACACATTCATTACCAATTAACGCGATCGGCGGTATGAACACCGAATCGACAGGCATAGTGCGAATTACTATACAGTCTATACACGATGGATTCGAGAAAGATATAACCTGTCTAGCAATACCAATTATCACGGACTCAATTCCATCTGAGACGTTTCCGCGCAATTTGATCAAGATTCCCGCAAACATTAGGCTAGCTGATCCTGAGTTTCATTTGCCGCGTCCCGTCGATTTGTTGATAGGTGCTGGGGCAACATTATCGATGTTTACGATCGGCCAAATTAATTTATCCCACGATGATCATGATTTATACGTACAAAAGACGCGGTTAGGTTGGGTGGTCGCCGGAGGCGCGCCGTCGCAAAATCCATCAAAAGTCGCAACATGTCAACTCACGTGTTTAGAAGATTTGATACGCAAATTTTGGACAGTCGAAGAGGTCGCGTCAAATACACCACGATCAAACGAGGAAGTGGATTGCGAGACGCATTTTTCAAAAACAGTTTCTCGGGATGACAACGGTCGGTATATCGTTCGCTTACCATTTCGCGATACGAACATTCGTCTTGGTGACTCACGCCGTACTGCATTTAAACGTTTATTATCGTTAGAGAATAAGTTAAATACGAATCCGGATTTGAAGGCCGAATATACACGAATAATAGACGAATATATACAAATAAATCATATGTCCCGGACCATGGACGCCGACGAGGACGGCTATTATATGCCGCATCACGCGATAATTAAAGAAACGAGTCATACCACCAAAGTTAGAGTCGTATTCGACGCATCGGCGAAGACAACCAACGGAGTTTCTTTAAATGAATTATTAATGGTAGGTCCGACCATCCAAAGCGGATTATTCTCGCATTTAATCAGATTCCGCACATACAATTACGTGATTACCGCCGATATTGAAAAAATGTATCGCCAAGTGTGGGTACATGAAGACGATCGGCGATACCAGCGCATTTTATGGCGCAGAAACGGTAAAATAGAAACCTTTCAACTAAATACTCTCACGTTCGGTGTAGCGTCATCACCATTCTTAGCCATCCGTACCATTCAAAAGCTCGCGGACGACGAAGCCCTCGCGTATCCTCGAGCAGCTAATATTCTCAAATCTCATTTATACGTCGACGACTTGTTGATCGGCGCGGAAACAATTGAAGAAGCCCGGGCTGTTAGAGATGAAATTATCGAGTTACTAGCTCGGGGAGGGTTCGTCATCAGACAATGGGCGTCAAATAACGAATGCGTGATTAACGACCTAGCTTCCAACTCATTACACGCAAACTTCACGTTAAATGCCGATCGCGCTTTGAAAATATTGGGCATAGTATGGAACGCGCGCGATGATACAATATGCTATTCAGCCAATTCAATTAAGGGTTCGAATAGAGTAACGAAAAGAAGTATTCTGTCCGAGATAGCAAAGATTTTTGACCCACTGGGATTGTTAGGCCCGATTATTTCGTATGTGAAAAAACTTATGCAGGACGTGTGGCGATGCGGCTTACAGTGGGACGAATCGGTTCCACAGAACATTCATACCGCGTGGTTAGAATTCGCAAGACAATGGGAATCATTGGGTCAAATTTATTTCGAGCGCAGATTGCTGATCGCGGGCTATCATGACATAGAGCTGCACGGCTTCTGCGATGCGAGCGCCGTCGGATACGGGGCGTGTATATACGTACGCTCGCGCGACGAATCCGGAAATGTCCTCGTCAGATTGCTGTGCGCCAAATCTCGAGTCGCACCGTTAAAAACGCTCACTATTCCGCGTCTGGAACTTTGCGGCGCATTAATATTAGCTCAGTTATATGGCGAAATAATCGCTACGTTAAGGCGATGCTAAAGCCCCCCTGTTTTACTACATTCCTATTCGGTGGGATTTCTCCGTATTGGATGTACGGATTGCAAAAGTATTATT